CACAGTATCAAGAACTTTGGTGACATCCTCCGCGACTTTGTCCTGTGTGAACTGGAGATCTACCAAGCGGTTGGTCTGGACGGGAGTTATTAAGCAACATGCAAGGAGATGCGACGGAGTTTATACTCGGAATCTGGCGCCGAAAAGATCTATCTGTTTGTCGAGTGCGTCCAGTTCAGCACCGAGTTCGTCACCCTTGAGTATGCGAACAATTTTTTTGTGTTCGACACTGAGGAGCCTCTGTGCATTCTCTAGTAGTCTGCGATGATGGTGAGTAAGGCACAAGAACAAGCGAAGAAAGTACTAGTCTCGACCAAAATCACTTACCCCCTGTATTCCTTCAAATCTGGGCCCAGACGATGAATCTGAGCAGCGTGGCCATTATCATGCAGTCGAAGGATTGCTGGCGCAATGTCGCAGAAAAGTGCAGCGACCTTGTTGAGAAGCGTGTCTCGTTTGCCGTCGTTATCTCGAAGTTGCTACGCAGACATTGAAATCAATACTACCAAGGGACGCCGACCCTTAAATACCTTGTAAACTTTGACGAACTGCAAAAGAATTGCCCCGATCGGCTCGACAAATGGCGCTGCCTCTATGACTTTGCCGACCTGCTCCACGATCGCGAGAGCAGCTGAGATATTGGATATGACGGAATCTTTACTGCCCTCATGAGGTTTGGTTGCTGCCACTTCTGCGGGCAGTGTTCGTGAGGAAATAAGACTTTGAAAGGAGAGGAATACCTAGAGGTTCAGCGGTCGGTGAATTCGGGTCTAGTGTGGGGGATTTCTGTTGAATCAAAGCCAGTATATTATAATCAAAAATATTTGTTCATCCAAGATGCTCACCTCCGTCTTGAAAGTTTCCCTTGAACCCAACGCGGGCCTTGCCGAGGCTGCCGTTTCTGGCCGAACATTGGCAGCATCTGGTGGCCTTAGAGATTCCTGCACAGGCGGCACATTTATGGGAGCATCCACATCGGCGCCTCGCTTCGTGAAGACCTTGCGTTCGAGGTTGCGGAACTGTTCCTTGATTCCTCGGAGACGAGACGGTGACTTTTTCGAGTCCTGCATTGGATGTACGAGTCGGAGGGTTGTCGTCTAAGGTCTGCTCACAGCTCTCACTGCTATGCACTGCCGCCGATGAGGTAACTGACACTGACAGATGGAATGCGCGTGGCCTGCGTCAATGTGGCGTACGCCATGATCGGAAGTAGGTGGGCCGAAAAGAACGTGCAGTGTCTTGGTCCTTAGCAGTTTCTCCTGAGAACAGAACGTCCGGAGAAACGAGCTCGCAATGTATGAGTCGGCGTGTTGTCGTCTAAGGTCTGCTCACAGCGCTCACAGCTACCCAAAATCCAGTGTTGAGTCGATCAGTATAGCCTCTCGGTGTTACACCAGTTTCTGTTTCTAAAATTTAATATGACTCTATTCGGCCCAGCTGAGTCTGAGATCGGGACGCGTTCGACGCGGTCAACTTGCCTGTGTTCCATGCCTCCGGGATTGCATCTTCAGAAGTTCCTCAGAGTGATCTTCATGAGTTATAAAATATTAGTGGAGACTTGTTTCATCACGTCAAGTTCATTACAGTTCGACGCACTCATTTCTCATTCGAAACTAGAATACCAACATCAGCAGGCCGTACCTCTCCTGCATTCTTCTTTCGAGCAATAATAATTTCAGACTGACGGTGTCCGAAACCTCGCCACACTATTTACATCTGTTTATTCCATATGTTGCAAACGCGTTGATCACATGATATCACATTTTTAATATATCTTATTTAAAATAATATTCATTTTCTATGAAACAAGAAAAACAGTCGCTCAGACGTCGAATTCGAACGCAATCCTAAGGGCGTTCTCAAAGTCCGCGATGATATCACTGATGTCCTCGATCCCGACCGATACCTGGGAACGCAACGCAGTTAGTGTTGCATAACAGAGGAAAAAAAACTGTAAACAAGCACGTACCCTTATCAAATCCGGCTCCACCCCACTCGCCCGCTGCTCCTCTTCCGAAAGCAGGCCGTGCGTCGTCGACGCGGGGTGTATCACCAGCGTCTTGGCGTCGCCTATGAACGTGGTCGTGGTTAGTAAGAACATACGACCATAGGAAAAGGATGCAAGGATGGCGCAACGCACCGAGGTTCGCCAGGTTACTCGCGAGCTTGAGCAGATCGACCACCTTGCTCGCCTTGGCGGCATTTCCCTGCGCGGTCAAGTAAGTATGTGTATGACGTGTATGAGTACGAGAGCAGCACGGCGTACCTTGACGCCGAAATTGAGCACGCCGCCAAAAGCGCCGCGCCGCAGCGTGGTGAGCGCGCGCTGGTGCGAGGGGTGCGCGGGGAGCCCGAGGTACGAGACCCATGCGACGTGGGGGTTGGCGAGGAGCGCTCTGTATGGTGGTGGGGATGTTAGCTAGTAGAGGGGTGGTGCGAAGAAAACATACTGGGCCAGCGCCGCCGCATTCTCGCAATGGCGTGCCGCGCGCAGGGACAGCGTCTCGATGCCTTGCAGGAGGAGGAAAGCGGCGAAGGGGTTCATCGCGGGGCCGAGGGAGCGCAGCATCTACGGGTATCTCAGCACGGCGCAAAGGAGGATGGCACGACCCAAAGGATGGTGGATGGGTACGTAAAGGAAAGGAAAGAAACGCGAAACGCGAATAACGCAAACGCACTTCGACCCTTACGCGCACCGCAAAGCTCTCCGCCCCAAACGCCTCGCTGAAGACGAGCCCGTGGTACCCCTCCGCCGGGTCGGTGAATGTGGGGAACTTGCTTGGCGAGGCGGCGTTGAAGTCGAATTTGCCTGGCGTGGAGGGTGAGTACGCGGACGTGTGGGGAAGACAGCAAAGCAAAGCCACTCACCCCCATCGACAACGACGCCCCCGATCGTCGTCCCGTGCCCGCCGATCCACTTTGTCGCGCTCGCGACGACGATGTCTGCGCCGAGCGCGAGGGGGCGCACGAGCCAGCCGCCCATGCCGAAGGTGTTGTCGACGATGAGGGGGATGTGGTGCGAGTGGGCGAGCTGTGGGAGGCAGGAGAATGTAGAAAGGGCAGAGAGGCGGAAGGGGGATGAGTATGGGAAGGGATGGGAAGGGAAGGGAAGAGGAAGGATGAAGGCGGTAGGGAGAGGCGGGTGTCAGAGGAGCGGAGGGAAGGGTGCAAGGTGCAGGGGATGGAAGAGAAGGGGAAAGCGGAAGAGGGAGGAACAGTCAGCGAGCCGCAGGCGTGAATGGGTAAGGCAGGGAACGAAGGACTAGATCGCGCCGAGGGCGGCGTCATGGAGTCGGGAGTGTACACTGAGTGATCATCGACGCGTCTGCATCACGACCGTGGAGGTACACGTCTGGAGAAGTATGTGCTCAAGGACGCGCACTGTCTGTGCCTCGCCCATTGCATACACTCCAGCGCCGGCACGTATCCTCCGTGCTGCGTAGAGACCTGTCCCACCACCATGTTGTAGGGCAAGCGGGTACGGCACTGCGTGAGGTGGTAGTGGAAGACTGCGGCAGCGCCAAAACGCGTCCCGTCATCGTGGAGCCTGGCGGCCATGCAGATCGTGCCCCCGTCACGGACGTCCCCAGCCGACACAACAACAGCCAACTCACCTCCGCCAACGCCCTGACATCCGGCACACTGAAATTCGAGTTGGCGATGATCTCCACGAAGATGGCGCGCGTCCGGTCGTCGATGAGCGGCGCGTAGGCCGCAGGGTCGAGCGAGGTGACGAAGCGCGTGGCGATGCCGAATCGCCGGAAGGTGACTTTGAGCTGGGTGTATGTCTGTGCGCGGAGTTGGTATCGAGTGGGAGGGAAGAGAGATGGGCAGCACGTACCCCACCGTACAGGTGCGCTGAGGCTACGATGTTGTCCCCAGCCTCCGCGAGCGCCGTGATCGCGAGGAGCTGCGCGGACTGCCCTGACGCGGTCGCGACGGCTGCGACACCTCCCTCCAACGCTGCAATGCGCTTTCTAGCTTGAGATCAGTGCAGGTCAAGAGACGGTTAATACGCCACGTACTCGAAGACCGCCTGTACCAAGACGCATCAGACAAAAGAAGTAGAACAAGCGGGGGCACGCACGACGGTAGGGTTCCCGATGCGCGAATAGACGTTGCCGGTCTCCTTCAGCGCAAAGAGATCTGCTCCGTGCGCAGAGCTGTCGAAGACGAAGCTGGAGGAGGCGTATATGGGCGCCGCGCGGGCATGGGTGGCGGCGTCAGGCGTCTGGCCAGCGTGCAGCTGCAGCGTGTCGAACTCGGGTGTCTTGTAGAAACCGTCGGTCATGGTGGTGCCGGTGGTGGTGATAATGCGCAGACGTCGGCTTCGGTTTCCGGGGGAGACTAAAAGGCGGGGAGTCGACGGTCTTGTGTACCGAGACGAAGATCCGGCGAGACGGCGGGGTTATATAGCGCAGTACAGCAAAGGCGAGCATCGGTTCTGGATAATCGCATCATCATCACGAATAACACGTTTCGGGTTGTTTCGGGCTAGATCGGGCTTTACACCTAAATAGCGGAGAGCGAGCTGTACCGCGCATCACAGCCCTCCTACAGCTGCTGAGAGAATTAAACACAAAGTCAACAGTAGAAAGACTGCAACTCAACGACCGTAAGTAGTCAGAATGCGCCAAGACGACTCTCCCTTTCAAAGTTTCCACGTCTTTTCGTCTAAACCATGGATTCAGCGACACCGCATAGAGTGTATGTAGTGTGAAAGAGAAATACCGCCGTAGATGAGGACTGTGGTGGTTGAGACACAGACACAAGGTTGCCAGAGAGATGCGACACGCACATGTGACTGACGCGTCGAGAAATATTTCAAAACATCAACAAAAGAAAAAGACACTCGATTTTGCAGATCCCATGTTGGCGCTAGCTCCTTCGACGGCGGTTCTAGAGGGCATAGCTAGCGTGGGCAGTGTTTTCAAGCTCAAAGAATGAAATTAGAGATTCCCAGCCGTCCTACATGGAATTTTGGCCGGCGCTTGATACTGGCGTCTGTGGTGTAGCGGTAACATTGGGTCTTCCCATAAGAAATAGCATTAGGCCTTTGACTGGCCTAGCTCCGGGTTCGACTCCCGGCGGACGCATTCTTTTTTGTGATATAGTATTTTGCTTATTTTACTCCATTCATATTTGCTTATTGGGCTCGCCGAATATTGGCCGCTCAAGCAAAATTGGCGAAAACGCAGGTGGATATAATCATTCGGCACAGTCAAATCATCGTCTCAGCTGTAACACTCTCGCTCATCCAAAACGCACACCTCTCCATCTCCGCCGGCGTAATATTTTCCATACTGGAATTCGTGACGGTGTCGCCTCCGCGCGTCAGCACCAGACGGCTGCGCGTAGCGCCACCACCAGCTGCGATGAACGCCTCCCAAACAGGCGAGCGCGGATTTTTAGCAGTCGATGGGTTGCCTGTGGCGGCGATTGATGTCCAGTACGCTATGGCCTCGTTGGCTAGCGCGGATTCGCTCTGATTATTTTTATGTATGTATGATAAGCGGTGGTTCGACGATAGGTCCGAGTGCGGCTAACCGTATTGAATTTCGTGAAGGTGTTCCCCGCGTTTGCGATGGTGCTGCACATGGATCAGAGGGGGGCAAGATGACTGAGATGCCAGCTCTCACTTTGTACCTATAAAATGGTCAGTCCAAAGAAACTCGCGACACAAGATATGTACCATCGAATAAATAGTAAAGATCCGAGGTATGTGCTGCCCCACGATAGGGAGTTGCGTTGAATATCACCGTGTCCGGCGCATTCCAGCTGGGGAAGGAAGCAGTGAGTAACAGTGTTTTCAACGAATATCATTTGAGCACGAAACCTATATGAGAATACGTTTTTCACTCCATTCGCAGCCAGTTTTTCGGCGAAGAACCAGTCCCTGGAAACATTTCCGCAGTTAATTTCGCAGTATGTATGAGCGGAAGAAGCTAGGGCACCGACATGCATGTGAAAATTATTTCGCCGGCCATGGTCCAGGCACGATCCCACTGCGTTGCGAAGGGACTTCCAGGCGCACCCGGCTCTGGATACAGCGCCAGCGCCTTGTCGATCGTAGCGTTTGACTGTATATAACTCCATTAGAATTACGCAAGGGTGTCTGGATCTAAGACTGACCACGCCGGGCCATCTGGAGAAGACGATGCGCCTTATGTCGTCAGCCGTTCGAAAGTCTTCTGGCTTGCCAGCCGCGAACGTCTTCCCGTCCCCCGTGCAGTGTCCGCCCACAAATTCGACGTTGTGGAATTTACCAGCGGAAATCAGGCGCGAGGGCAGATCGGGCAGGAATCCGCCTGGGCCCTCGATAACCGGGGCAAAGGCACCGTTCTCTATCCGGTTGATGGCGCTCACAATCGCTCCTGCGTTCGGATTAGCATTAGAAAACCGCCGTTCGTTATAATAACTTAACACTCACCTAGAGATGCGCTGCGTAGACAAGGCATTGAGGCGCTACCCGATGCAGGACAACCGATGATGCCAGCCGCAGTCTCTGTCATGTCAGTTAAGATGATAGATAACTCGCAGGGAAAGGTTGAAGGACCTTACCGAAAAAGGCGTTAACCTCGCTATCGGTGTGGGTAGGCCCAAATCCAATCGACTGAGCCGTGACGCGTTTGAATGGGATGGGTCTAGAACCTGAATGAGCCACGGTGAGTAAAGTAGAAAGTATTTCCAGCGAGAACACGAAGTTTCACCTCCATATGCGACAGTCTGCATAACGACGCTTGCTCCCCCAGCGCTCTCTCCGTAGATCGTAACATTGCCGGGGTCTCCTCCAAACTTTGTGATTTGCCTCTGGACCCACTCCAGCCCTGCACGCTGGTCCAGGAGTCCGGTGTTTAAATCGCCATTTGCGGCGACGACTGGGCCACCGAGGAAACCGAAGAAGTTCAGCCGGTATGCTATGGATACGGCAACGATCCCCCCAGGATGTTGCGCCACCCAGTCGTACATCGGAAATCCTTGAGGAGACTGGAGAATTTTGTTGGATATCAGATCGTTTATCAAATAAGAGGGACATACATTGGCATAAAAGCCGCCGCCCTACAAGTGCCAAAAAATTAATTCCTTCGTTTATGTGATGGAAACCCGGACGCACATGGATATAAACGGCAACTGGAAGCTTGCTCCCCGCCGAAGCATTGGTGGGCTTCCAAACATTCAACGTTAGGCAGTCTAAAGTATCCACTCAATGAGGCCCGGGGGTCTGCGGAAGAAAGGCGTTGGTTGGCACATACCTTCCGACCCAATCCCGACTGTGGCCGGTCTCTGGATACATGGCGGGCCCCAACCCCTGGCGTCAAGTACCTGGGACGTAATGATCTTCTCATCGAGTGGCTGCGGTGCCCTGAACCTCCGTTCTCCGAGCGGCGGCTGCACATATCTTATGTTCCCATAAAACGCCACGGGTCCGTTCGCGATGCCTGCGGGAGAGGTAGTGTTTCCGGCGTATGCGACGTATCCCAGATCCACCACAGGCCCTAAATTTGAGGTTAAGTTTCGCGCGCCGGCGCAGATGGCGGCTGTTAATGCTAGACAGGACAAGACGAGCATCTTGACTCGGAGAAAGTAAGCAAGTGGCTTCTGTGTCGGAACCCAACTGCATTTTATGCGGCCCGTATTTTTAGTACGGAGAAATGATCACGAGTCGTCGGCAGCGGGAGGTCGCGGTCCGTTCGATTTCTGTGCAGTCAGTTTCGCGCTTCCAAATTGAACGAGGAACGACACAGAGCGGATTAAAACGGCTGGCATGAGCTTTCGGATTTCACCAAGATTTCCCTCGATAGTATTTTTCGGTGGCAGCCCCTCTGTGAGGAGTTTCAGGCAGCCTCGCAGGTAGACGCAACCCTCTGTAGACTCGCCCTTGACTGAGCTTTGCTTTGTGACGAGTGTCGTTGGAAGAGAGCCTATCCCAGTATCCGGCCATCTCCGAACGCCATGTGCCAGCCACAAATACAGAAACAAATAAACGTTGGCTTCGGCGCTCATCATGTCTCACATCCCGTTCTTTAAATTCACTCATCCGGACGCCAAAGAGGACTTGAAAGACAGAGGCCCATCCCCTGAAGAAGTACGCATCAACTCAAAAGCTCAGCTTCACGTGTGTTCCAGCTGCAGTGGACGCTCCGAAGTCATGAAGGAATGCGGCAGAGTTAGTGGAACATGGCCCTTTCTTCTTCGTCGTCGTTGAATGTTGACTCCTGCTAGTGCCATGGACCACGATACTGCTCGCGAGACGTTTGTATTTGCTGTTCAATTGGGATCTCAATACTCACGACTCGGACTCTCCGATAGTGCCAGGTTGCCGACTGGTAATTCTGCATCCTACAATCATTTTGTGCCACTAATTTGTCACCCAGGAAGTTTCACAAGCAGGCTTGCACCTCGGACGCGATCGGAACAGACCTCAATCTCAAACTTGCGAAAAAGCTCACGGCGAACGGGTACTTGATGTCCTTTATCATGATGCACGCTGTCTTGTCGCTCGACCTACTCAACAATCCTGCCAATGCCGACAGCACCTACCTGGCCGTGACACTCACCACTGCGGATGCTGATCCTATGGCGTATATGCGTGCGCTCATAAACCGTGAAGAGCGCGCACCAGGCTATCCAATCATGCTTCAAGTGTCGAGCATCGAAAAGCGAGACATGGCGACTATTACGCACATTGTACCTGGCGTGCAAACCTCGCTCGTCAACACCAAGGCTGCGTTGGCCGCCAGCGACGCCGACGTGCCTGTCGTGATGCTCGTTTTCACCAGCGGTGGTGCCAATATCATCAGTCACCCTTGTCCTATACCACCAGAGATTCTCGAAAGAGTGCGAATTATGAAGCCATTCCAGCTGAAATCTGCCCTGAGCGGATTGGTAGAGGTTCCCATGACGGAGCAGACCATTGTCGAGTGGGCTTACTTTCTGCTAATCGGCGCCTCTCAGCTCATTTCCCGTAGACACCTGAACAATGCGATATACATGGACAAGGAAAATAGGTACCTGCTGCGTACGGTTCGTGGTCTCATAATCCGCTACTTGCGCGGAATCCTAACCCTCATCCAGAAGTCCCACAAGTGAGCGGATGTTATGCTCTAGCATACAACATACATATGTATTACTATGAAGTCAATCGATCCTACGCCCGGACTGGAACAACACTGTCGCGACGACGCACGCCTCCATCAGCTTCATCTCAATGGCGGCTAGAGAGATGTCGAGTGTCACGCTATCATCTTCTTTCACGATTCGAGCCAATAACCTGGGGATATCTGACGGCAACCATGGATCCCAGTGGTAAAGCTGCTGAAGGACTTGAATGGCTGCTAATTTAAACTCCGCGAATTTAAACGACTGACACATATTCCTTGGCTGCGTGGCACCCACACGTATGTCTGTCCGCTCGCATACATTGTCCTATAACTTAACGGCATTCAATTAATATTAATATAGGACTGTGAAAGATTCGAGAAATCCCCAACCTAGCGTCTGCAGATACAACCAACCACGCCGAAACAGGCTGCTTCATCACAGAAGGCTGGATTTCCACGAAAGTAGTGCCGCCTTTACCCCGCCATTCAACAGATGCAATGGTGTGGCCCTTGTTGGTGCGGAAGACGGTGTGACCCGGCAGCCAGCCCGCATCCGTCATGACATGGAAATATGGGCAGGCGTCCCATCCAACAACCGCGGAGTTGAGAATGCCTGTAGTACCGGTACGGGTCGATGCGAAGGTGAAGCTGACAATTTCCTCGTTGGATACTGCAGTCGATAGTTGGGAGTGGAACTGTCGTGGTGTTGGGGTCGTCCGCCCGCTGGAGCGATAGTCTTGCGGGTTCATCCTGCGATCCCCTTCTCCAATATCAAAGGCCGGCTTTTATATTGCGTTTTTAGAAGGTGCAGCTCGGTCCGACCATTATAACGTGCATCCTTAAGTAGCTAGTGCTCGGCGCCTCGGGGACATTGGAGACCATCGACCCGACAGGGGAATGTGGGTCCGGCGATGTCGGTCGCGCTGAGGACCGCAATTCTAAAATCGCACTGCAATGATGATGCATGAAACAGTTTGCGGCCGCAAAATCCGGGA